TGCAGTTCATAGCTTTGGCTAGAACTGTGATGGAAATGAAGTCATGCAATGCAGGATTATAAGGTGTGTAAGAGTACACACACAGACACACACACACAGAGACACACACACACACGAACAGACCAGACCAGTCAGTGTTGAGAATACTTATCCCTACGAGTTACAAAACAGAGTAAAATCAAACATTAGCAGAGGTCCCTCTACCCTATTACAACTGCACAAGTGAGGTCTGTCCCCAGACGGGTAGGTCCCTGGAGAAAGGTAGATTGGGGCTTCTACAGTAGCAGAGTAGGGCCACTAGCCATGAGCAAGTGGGTCATGAAATAAAGCTTAAAAAATGAGTGGAGATTTATTTTAAATCAAAGAAATCCACACCAAAATTTAAGAACATGGCATACAAATGCAAAGAAATCTTTAGTATATAGTCCACTGCTCATTTGGAATAACCAGAGCCAAACTCAGTATAAAAACCACTGAAAATGGAACAGGAGCTGCATTTTTCTAAGAGCAAACTTGGCTGGCATTTAAACCAAGAATTCCAATTCAGACTGGTGAAGGAAGCATTCACATAATAAATCTGGGTGAGTATGTATTTTATTGTTATAAAGTAATTAAGCTACTGGAGAAGCTGTCTCCTTAAACCAAGAGGTGCATTTTGTCTCTGGAGAAAGGGCAGCAGAGGACAGGATCTACCGTGCTGTTACAGTGAAAGAAAAAGCATTATTATGGAAGTGAGCAGCAGGAGGCAGGAAGTGAGACTTCACACACTGGGGCCAGCAATGTCTCCAGGGAAAACTGGCGGCCACCTCCTCACCCCACCATGTTCTCTGCCCTCACTCTGACCTAACAGCCACACAGCCTCCACTCTGTCCTGCTGCCCATTCATCAGTACTCTGCCCTGCGACAGCTTTTAATGTGAAATTCCCATCCAACTTGAAATAGGACTTCTGTAAGTTTTGCTTCTATTTTGCCTAAATATTTTATTCCTTCCCATTATTTGGCTCTGGAAGTCACTTTAGTAATAAGGCAGCCAAATACAGAACACAGAATTCTAAATACAACCTCCTTCATTTTCCTTTTGTATTAGTAAGTGAGGAAGAACTTTCCCAAATCCTGAAGTCTGGATTTTACCATGTAACCATCATGGATACCAGACCCTTGCCTCAGGGACTCAAAATTCAAAAGCTGGACTCCCAGGAGAACCCCTCCCCCCCCACCCCAAGCACCTCTTTATACATACTGCTACTTCAGGTCGAAAAGCCAGTGATCTAGAAGTATGGATTAAATATTCTTCTCAGTTACTCTTATTTTAAAGTGTATGTTGGCCAGGAAAATAAGGGACATTCAAATAAATTTTGCAATTGAAGATAAAAAGGATGATGGGGAGAGTAAGACTGGAATGAAATGGAACATGATTTAGGATAATATCTACTGGGGGGAACTTAACACAAGCACTCTGCACTGAGCTACACTACACTCCCAGCCCCTTTTAAAAATTTCTTCTTTTGACGCAGGATCTCACTAAATTGCTAAGTTGCCCAGGCTGGACTCAAATTTGCAATCTTCCTGCTTCAGTGTACCAGAGTGCTTCGGATTAAGAGCTTCTATCACCACACCCTGCAAGATAATCCCATCTTTAAAACGTCACACATGGGGGGGGGAGCAGGACAGACTAGATTGGCATGGACAACCCCAATATTCTGATAAAATACAACTAAATTTTTCTTTTAATATTGAACCAAGCTTAAAAGAAATCGCCTAGGTGCCACAAACAAGGGACTTAAAATGTGAAATATAAGCCTCAGGAATAAAGAGTTGGGGGTAGGAAACATAGTTTTGGGTTTGTGAAGAAGACCTACAACTGAGGCTGTTACATAAAATGGAGAACCTAAAAGTACTCCCTAAAGCCTTACCATACCAGGAAACCACTTGCCAGTCCACAACAAAGGCAAAGGACTATTGGGAGTTTGGAGCAGCATGTGGAAATTCAATGTGAAAAACAGGCATCCATGCACAAGTGTCATCATGCCATGTACCTCCACAAGACTGGGGGGTGTGTGTCCCCAAACCACTACAATCACAAGGCAGGACTGACACAGCAAGCTCTTTCTCTGTAGTGACACCATCAAAAGCCCCAGGAGATAGACTCTTCACAAAACAGAACACCCTTGTTATGAATGTTTGTAATCCTGAAAGGCCCATGAGAAAGCAAACCACCATTAGGAAGTCAAGAACAGAAAATCAGCATCCTAAGAACTCAAGAAAACAGAATTACTGGCTTAATTTAAATAGTTTTCTCAAGGAACAGAAACTAGCCAGGCATGGTGGCAGGGGCTTATACCTCTAATCACAGCACTGTGGGAGGCAGGAGAATGGTCAAGTTAGAGCCCTGCCTTGACAACTTAGTGAGGCCCAGACTGAAAAAACCCAAAAAAACCCAGGGGCCAGGGATTTAGCTCAGTGGTTCTGCTGCCTGCCTCACAAGCGCAAGGTCCCGAGTTCGATCCCCAGTACCAAAAAAAAAAAACCCAAAAGAAAAAAACAATAATAATAAAAGGTCCAGGGATGTACTTCAGTGCAAAGGCTCTGGAAAGTCAATCCCTGGAGGGGAGGGGAGAAGGGAGAATGAAAAAATAAGCATTTTAAAAAGAACAGAAAAATCTGAAAACAGACAACTTCAGAAAAAGTCACTAAAACAAGAAACTCAGCAGCCTAGATAAATACAGGTTAGATAGGACTAAGAACAGAATTAGCGAAATAAACACAAAGGAATTATTAAGAATATAGCACAGAGAAATCCAGAACAGATGAAAGAAGTCTAAAAGTAATCCAAGACGGAAATAGACAACTGAGATGAGATAATATCCAACAAAATAAAGAACATTAGAATTTTCTTAGGAACATGAGACCTGAATAAGAATAAAAAAATGTATCTATATCTAAAGAAAAAAATAAACATCTAAACAAAAGATATGGTAAACATAGGGTATGGAAGACAAGCCAAGGGAAGAAAATGAACTTGCATTTATTATAATAGTTAAATACTTAGAGAAAAAATATATATATATTCTATCTGCCTAATGACCACTGATGTAAATATAAATCTAATCTGACTCTGGCTCTCCCGTGTTCTGTGGGAACAAGCTTGGGTGCAGCACAGTATTAGAAAACTTCACTTTAGCACAAAGGCTGTCAGTCTTGATAGACTCAATGATCCCCTGCCACACATCCATGGGCACCAAACCACTTCTCTTCACTTTGAATTTCACCGGAGTATACACTGTTCTGCACTTCAGCTGCCAAGAATTAATGCCTAACTAAAGTGTTGATTTTTATAACCTAATTTACCTAGCAATAAAACACTGAGAGTGTATTTTGATGACAAGAACCCCATCTTGTGGCAAAAATGTCTCAAAACCAAGTATGGCTGATTACAGTATCACCATTCTCATTCGGAAGATAAATCTGTGTTGAGAAGTTATCATTTTATTTGCTTCACCAGGCAAAATTTCTAACCCAGCATTTATCTTGTGTCTGCAACAGAAGCAGCGTATGCAGTAAATCTGTGGAGCACGGTAATTTGGGGCTCTGAGTTATTTTCCCATGAAAGCTAGTAGTCTTTGCACAGATTACTGGAGGAATATTTTAAGAGGAAAGCAAACATGGGCTCTCGGTTAGCTCCTGAAATACCATCTGAGCACTGTATGGAGGCCCCAGGCACACTGCTTCCTGCAAATGAACTTACTCCACTCAAGAAATCACAAGACAGAAACTCCCCAAACCCACAACCAACAATGCCCTAATTACAAACACATGTATCAAAGCCACCCCCAACAGCACACTTGTATTCTGTATCATTCAAAGTCACTCTACAAGGCAGCTTTTAATGAATTTTCTCTTTTATATTAAAGAACAGTAGACTCTAAAATATTCTTTTCATTTCTCTTTAACATGAATATCTTCCCCACAATCCCTACTTGGTTTACCTAAAGAAAACTTCAAAGGCCCTATTATTGATAAGCTAGAAAATGTAATAAAACATTAAGCATATCTTGCTTAAAAACATTAGCTATTATTTTGCTGTTATTACTGACAAAAATACTATAAAGGGGGTTCCCCAAAATAGCTTATTGGTGTGGTTATCTTTCTCAACTATCAAAGCCTTAAAGAAAAGTCCAGTTCAAATATGCCACATTATTTTTCATCAAAAGCAAAACTGAAACATTTTTTTCTCCTCTCAAAATATTAGGGTTAAAAAGGACAGTAGATTAATATTAAAAGAACTTTTTATTTGTTAATGTCACATAAGAAATTTAAGCATGTTACACTATCTTAAAAAACACAGCTAATGTATTTTAATAGAGAAACCCTTCCCTCATCCCACCACCCCTGCCCGACCCCTTGCCCTTGTAAATTAAGATTCTAAGAGAAATAACCATAGAACAGTTCTGCGGAGTCCTTCATCCAGAGAGCTTACATGATTAGGTTAATATTGCCTTCTTACAAAATTTCTCTTTTCTTTTCTATTTAAAAAACAAAACAAAATTTGTAACCTTGATTGCTTATTACAAAAAAATTCAGTATAAAAGTTCAATATATTGAAAAATGGTTTCCCCTCCCTCACAGCACCATTATATATAGCAAAGAAGAGTCAAGAACAGATTGCCAATGTAGATGGAGCAATCTTCAATTTATACCAGACACACAGTGGTTTATTTACCCCTCTGTTCTCATAAGAACTTAAAAAACAGAAAACACATACACACTTACAAAACAAAAGCCAAAAAAAATTGAGAGACTCTTTCCAAACAGCACACAGTTAGTTCAGCGTCAATAATTCACATTTTGCAACAAAGTGTATGGATATGATTTCTTTTACAAAACTTTCAGTGTCAAAAAGGAAATTAAGGCCATCAGATTCGCAGCTTAAAAATTCACATAAAGGAAATATAAAAATATTCTGTGCTTCTGAGAAGGCTCTGCACTGTATATAGAATTACCATACTTCTTTATACTGAGGAAGACAGTTGCCTTGAGAAGTTTACATAATTGCACAGCTTCTATTGGATGGTCTCGGGGCTCCCTGATGAGAAAAACAGAAGAAACAAATGACTGCTAAGAAAATGGATTGCAGTATTTTAGACAAAATGGCCTGGGGATTTAGCTCAGTGGTTCCACCACCTGCCTCACAACCACAAGGCCCCGAGTTTGATCCCAGGTACCAAAAACAAACAAAAAAACTTTTTTTTAGACAGAATCTTTTAACTAGGGGGATATTACAAATCCCTATCACCTAACTTCACACGGGCCCTTATCACTTCTCACATATCCTTTTTAAAACCTTCTCTTAAGGACTTCTTCCCTAGAATACTGCAACACACCCCAAAACAGTAATTGTGGGGGGAAGGGGGAGCAAGCGTTGATCTGGGTCCCTAAATCAATTAAATGAGAATTTCTCATTTAACTAGGTTAGAGTATCTCTCTATACACAATTTAAAAGTAATTCTAATACGCAGATGAATTTGGAAACCACTGTTCAAGGACCTCCATTTCTTCTTTGAAAACTTAAAACCAGTGGACTCTAATTTGAACAATGACATCAGAGCACCTGGTTTGCTGCATCCTGAATTTCCACATCCCAGTGCATGTGCATTGGATTTGTCCTCAAATGAAGTCAGTCTCAAATGTTCATTTCTTTATGACCCATTAATCCCTTACAACCTCACAATATAACTTGTGACTCACCACTGATCAGACTAAGAAAGTTACCCAAAAAATTCTAATCAATTCAAGAGGCCACTGGATTCATCCTTCACTGTGCAGTCAAAATAGCTATTTTGCCTTCTTGTCTTCCTGCTTTTAAACTTTGCTATCATTATTTACTATGATCACACGGTAAAAACCTCATACATCTTTGGCTTTTTTCCTTGTCTCGAGCCTTCAAGTTTTACCACATGCATTAATGAATATCTATTTATATTCTTCCTGAGTGTCTCTGCAATCTCCCTTCAAGGGTCAATCCTGGATTCAGCTAGCCTGGTGATATTCTAAACTTTCAGCCTCAACTTCTTTACTCCATCCAAACTATACTGAAGATATATATGCCTACGCATTTTGTGTCCGCTTACCACCAATCCTTCATTTTCCCTCACATGAACCTGACATTACAACTGCATCTTGACACATCCTATATTTGTGTCCGCTTACC